CTAAGACTGGCCCTTCCTGACAACATGCCCAAAGTATGTGAGACAGAGTTTCACATCCTTGCCTCTTTAGTATTTTTGTTGCACTTTACATCCCCCACCCCCAAATATGTGTTAGAATCCTAGTCCATGTACTGGTAGAAATGAGCTATAGTGGCACAGTAGTTAAAGCACTGCACTGTAACCTGAGCTCAGTGGTTCAACTCTACTATAGCTATCATGGTATCATTTCCCCCACCTGTTATTCGGGGGGGGGGGGGAAATGGTATAACAATCTGCTTGAATCAATATTTCCAGCCTTGGAAACCAAATAGAGCGATTCTACTCTGTCCTTATAGGGTCACTATGAATCGGAAGCTGTGCCTGATCCGGACTATAGTCTTTGCAATTACGTGCTATGCATCAGAGAGTTAGACAGTGAATAGGGATGATAGAAAGAGAATTGATGCCTTTGAGCTGTGGTGCTGGAGAAGAGTGTTGAATATACCATGGACTGCTAGGAGAACAAACAGGTTTATCCTGGAGAAGGTGAAGCCAGAATGCTCCCTGGAGTCAAAGATTCTGAAGCTTCATCTGACATACTTTGGGCATGTTGCAAGGAGGGACTGGTCCTTGGAGAGGGACATCATGTTTGGCAGAGTGGAGGGGCGGCGAAGAAGAGGAAGACCTTCGATGAGATGGATCAATTCTGTGACTGGAGTGGTGGGAATAAGTGTGTTTGAGATGGCTAGGTTAGCACAGGATAGAAGAGCATATAGAGCTCTTGTACCTAGGGTCGCTGTGAGTCACAAACAATTTGATGGCACATAACAACAACAGAACTCTTTACACATCACCCCACATGTTACTATTTGTTGCTGCGTGCTGTGAAGTGGGAATTGACTCATAATTGACCCTCTAGTGGGTTCTCAAAGACTATATATAAATCACATGTGAGGAGGTTGCCCATCTTTGTTCCTTTGAGCAGCTAATGAATGTGAACTACCTGCCTTTGGGTTGGCAGCCCAGCTCCATCCTCAGTCACCAGACCTCTAAAACTTAATTCCTAGAATATAGCACATATGGGTTTATACTTGTCTGTATAACCTCATTTTACGAGGTCATATCAGTTTCTTCAATTTTTGGAAGTATTAAAAAAAGAAACCGATTAGACAGGGAGAAGAACGCACAATTGGGCAAGAAATAGATGCTCCGTGCGAGCCAAGGAACAGGATCCAAAAGACGTGGAATCTTCTCCCACGTGCAGTACAGAGCGCCTTCCACTAGAGCCAGTACCTGCATCCGGACTACATAACTGTGTTTCAGAGCCACCCACCTGTGGTTATTTCTGGCATAGCAGCAATGAGAAACTAAGACAACAGGGAATAATGGTTTAAGTTGTCCCCACACTCCTAATCAGGCCTGTGTGTATGGGGACTCAGGGAGAAGAGGATGGGGTCTGTTTCCTGTACCCCCACGGGCAGGCGTAACTGCTCCTGTAGCTTCTTGTTCTCTTCTGCAAATGTGTGGCCATTGTCCCTGCTGGTTTTCCAGAGATTTGCAGTAATCCATGTCCCCTGCAGGCTGGTGGAAAGTCAGGGTGGGCCACCCTTTTGCTGCGTGGGAGACACTGTGGCTCTGTGTGTGCTCAGAGCTGAGGCTCATTCATGAGGAAATGGGGTAGGTGTTCAAGCCCCCAGGGGAATCCAAAGTTGTTTACCACAGCGGCACTTGGATTTTTGTGTAGGATCCCTGCTCCTCCGCCTGGCTTGGCATTCTCTTTTCAGTCCTGAAAGGCTGACAAATACCTTGTCAGCAGGAGTCCAAAGTTGCTGGTGACTGATCTGTTCAAGGGACAGAGACAGAAAGCAGAATGCACTTTGGAGAGCAGATCTGTGCTACCCTGCAGCTCCAAGCTGAGCACAAGCCCACATGTGTGCATGCAGGCTTTCAGCCCAGCCCACCATGGCTGGACAGCTACAGGGCTTGCTATTTTAAATGAGTTTCAGAGGCTCCTTTTAGAGATTTGTCAGGCTGCTTAGCCTTCCACTGTACCCCCTCTACTGTCTAAAGCTCATGAGTCCCCTTCCAAATGACAGAATAGAATCTCTGCCCTTGCTGTATACCCTCAAGACCACAGTTTTAACTCTCCATAGAAGCAAAGGCCCAGCTGTACAGTTTACGGTTCTACAATCATTAAGAAAAGATTGTATAAAAATTCACTCATTGCTGTCAAGTCAGAACTGACCCACAGCTAACACTCCATTGGGTTTCTGAGGCTGTGAATCACATAGTAGGAGACTGCCCATCTCCCTCGTAAGTAGCTGCTAGTGGACTGAAACGAGGAGTGAGCCATGAGCTTTGAGTTAATGAAACTTGCTACATACTACACTGCCAGAGCTGTTTCACATAAAAACTGGTATAGTGGAAATATAGGATACTTTTTTATACTTTTTTAAAACCCAGTTGCCAAATAATTTTACTTCCATTAAAGTAACAGCAAGAGAGAGAGTCAGTGAGAGAGGTTAGAAATGCCTAACAAGGGGGGGGGGGCAGGGGAGAAGGGGGGTGGACAGGGAGAAAAGTGCAACAATGAATGAATGGAAATCTAAAATCTCTCTAAATGTTCATTAAAATTTTTAAAAAATTGAAAAAAAAGAAATGCATAACAAAAAATGTCAGCATAAGTCACTGATGGAAGATGAGATTATAAGTAGTTTGTAGTTGGTCAGTTTGGTTTGAGATTTTTTTCCCCCCCTTGTCTTTTTCTTACCCATTTTTTCTCATTTTTGTTTCCATTAGAAACAAGGGTGTTTATAATAACACCTGAGTTTGCATTTTCCCTACCTGCTGGGAGTATTATTTCACTATGGAACAGTAAGGTTTGAAGAGGGTATGAAACCTCTTTTTTTTTTTATTCTCCCTCATTTCTGTCCATATCAGGTGACATACCAGAAAGTTGGATGTTCAGATGACCCCCTCAGATACCTACTGTATTATTTATGTAGAAATACTTTGCACAGAGTCCAGAAACTGCCACACTTGGAATTTTCTGCGTTAATTTAGCAAAACCCGTGGAAGACATTGTTCATTGGGTCTTTTGAGGTTCCCTCATGTCCTGCCTAGAATAAGTCACAGTTCAGGCCAGAAAAAGTTTGTCTGTAGCCATGAATGGGTGACTTCTTCCCTCAGACAATGAGGCCTGTGTAACCCAGAGTCCCCGCCTGGGTGGCCGAGAAGCTCTGAGTTAATCAGTGATCACAGGCCATGGCTTTCCTCATCCTTGGTTATCTGATGTGACAGCTCCTTCCCCTTCCTTTTTAATTACTCGGATTTTCCCTTCCAAATGATTTTCTTCTCTTTTTTGATACCCTTTTGTTCACTGTCAAGGTGAGGCAATCCCTTTTTGAAAGTAGAAAGTAACTGAAAAGTTAGCCTGCCCTTCCTCCAGTACAACATAAACTACTTGAGGATGGGCTCTGACTTTTCATACTTACGTCCTTGGGCTCTGGAGAGGGCTTGGAATATAGCAAATGACTGATAAGTGGTGGGTAGATGGGCAGACAGACAGACAAAGGAGGAAACAAACAATGAATGAGCCAAGTGGGAAGGATAGTTCCCACAGGTGCGGTGGCATCTTGCAGTTGATCTCCCTGGTCAGGTGGTCGCCATGTCTCCCAGGGCTTCTCTGCATGCTGTGCTTCTGCTCTGTTTCTGGGAAGCAGAGGGAAGATCTTGCCCTGCCCTACAGGATACTCAGGCCTGTCACTTAGATGGATACACCCACCCTCCCCATCCCTACACTGCTGGTGCTCACCAGTTTAACTTTCAGTTATTTGCCCATGTGTTTGAAATGATGATTGATTAGTGACTGCTCTATATCTTCCTGATGTTGGTGGCTTGGCCTAAATTCCTTTTAGTGTAGTTACCGTGGTCCAAGCAGCTCAGGCAGGATTCCTATTGAGTAGCCACACTGGCTCATTTGTAAGAGACACCACCGTGTCCTATGTACCATCACTGGAGCCAATAATAAAGTACCTTCAGTTGTGTTTTCAGTTGGTTTTGTGTTTTTTGATCCATAACGCGTTGTTTAACTGAAATATAGTCTGTTATAATTCATGTCCCGGTTCAGGAAGCATGGAGTTAAACCTTGGTCCTGCTGGACTTCTCAGCTGGCTCTCTGTAAAATAAAGTTATTAAGACCTGTCTTTCCAAACTCACCAAGATTGTTGTGACGTTCAACTGAAGTATGTAGTAAAAGTACTGTAGGTGCTCAGGCCTTTCATTCGTAGGGTCGCTATGAGTCGTCTACGACTCGACAGCACCTAACAACAACAGAGCACTTTTAAAAATGCAAGATGAAGAAGGGTTGTTTCAAAGCCCTCGAGGGTTACTGCCACTTACACCTACCTACAGAGACTAGCTACCATAGAAGAAATGAAGATGAGTCCCATGCAACTTGTCACTTGCTCCCAGACTGCCCCGTGTTGGTTTCCTCGGGCATCCTTAACAAAATTCAGGGACAGAAATTTCTTCTCTCAAAGAAGATTAGCCACACTGATTCCTTCTGAGGACAGCTCTGTTCCACGTCTTTCTCCCAGCTTCCCATGATAACTGGCAGTCTCTGTGGCTCTCGCTTGTAAGTGCATCTCTGTCTCCATCCACACGTGGGTGCCCACTCTCTACGTGTCTCTCCATCTCGTCTCTTTTCTAAGGGCACCACTCAGAGTGGATTATTGGATTAGGGCCCATCCTGCTGCAGTTAATGTTAACTATTAACATCTTCAGAGACCCCATTTCCAAACAAGGCCACCTTCACTGGATTAGGACATGAGCACATCTTTTGGGGGCAGAATTGGATCCATAGCTTTATCTTGTATCTGCTGAGTTCAGATATGGGCACTCCATCAGACTCTGCGGTGTGTAACATCTATTTTAAGTGAGACGCCGCCCCTCCAGCGGCTGCCCCCTTTTTGCTTCCCGAGGCGAATCCTTAACAAAGTATGTGGTTTGTCTTCTTTCAGGAACAACTTGAAAACTATGACTTCACCAAATTCCACTCGCTGAAGCCCAAGCTGATCGAGGCTGTGGACAACATGCTAACCAACAAGATCTCATCACTGATGAACCTCATCAGCCAGGAGGAGATAAACATGCCCACACAGCTGGTGCATGGAGGTGCCTTCGATGGGACCACCGAGGGGCCCTTCAACCAGGGCTATGGAGAGGGCGCCAAGGAAGGTGCTGACGAGGAGGAGTGGGTGGTGGCCAAGGACAAGCCTGTCTATGATGAACTCTTCTACACCCTGTCACCCATCAACGGCAAGATAACGGGTGTCAATGCCAAAAAGGAGATGGTGACCTCCAAGCTACCCAACAGTGTCCTGGGCAAGATCTGGAAGCTGGCCGACTGTGACTGCGACGGCATGCTGGACGAGGAGGAGTTTGCGCTTGCCAAGCACCTCATCAAGATCAAGCTGGATGGCTATGAGCTGCCCAACAGCCTGCCCCCCCACCTCGTGCCCCCCTCTCACAGGAAGTCCCTGCCGAAGGCCGACTGAGGATGGGCTGCAGACAGAGTGGGAGGGGTGGGGTGGGAACTGGGGACCTGGAACTGAGGCCCACTCTGCTCGCTGAGGATCTTGGTCTCTGCCCTTCTGTGCCTTGGCTTTCCCATCTGTAGAATGGGAAGGACTGGCATCAGACACTAGATGGTCTCTAAGGTCCTATCACCTCTGAAATTCTTGAGTTTCTACTGGAATATGGGGAGGAAAGAGAGAAAACAAGATTGAGAGGAAAGCAAAATTGTCCAAAGAGTCTTGAGAAATCTGGGAGAAGGTGTAGGGGTGGGCTGCCTCTGTGGATTCCCAGGACCCCCAGGAGTGGTTGAGGCCCTGGGGCCTGGTCAGGCTGTGCACCATCATGAATGACTTCCAGAGCACCTGTCTGTTCTTCAGAGGACATCAGGAGGGAAAAATTATTTTATTTATTTTGTTTCCTGCTATTTTTAGAGTGGGGAAAAATAGAGCAGAGAGAGCTTCTACTGTCCCCAAACAATCTACCAAAGAGCAGCTGGACACCACAGGTGAGACAGGAGGCACTCCATCAGCAACCGTCCACCTCCAGCCAACAGAGCACGCCTGGCCCAGCAGCCTCCTAGCCCACCCTCCTAGGCTGCTCCACCCCGGAGCCCTCCCAGGAAAGCTGTATTTGGTTAAGAATCTGGACCTCCCAAACTGTATTTACCCCTGGAGAGATTGCTAGTAAGCATTTCAAGGCACTTTGAAGTCTAAAAATTTGTTTTTCTTACAAATACTCTGTATGAATCCTCTGTAAAACAGTCTATTTGTCACACTTAAATGCTTGTGAGGGAAAGGTCATTCTGCTCAGTCGTCTGGTAGGTGGTCCTCGACTGTTCCCCAAGGCTCCTCAGTCAGTGGCAGAATTGAAATTCAGCAAACGCTTTTCTTGGTGCCTGCAGTGTCATAGACACCTGGCTATGGTGCACTAGAGTCAGGGAGAAGAGATCAGTCTGCAAGAGCTAAACATTATTTTTGTAGGAAATGGGTATTTTTATTAAGTCCAGGTTTTTGGTTTGGAGGTTGTTGATTTTTTCTTTCTATACAGAATAAAAGCCTTTATACAGAAACCAAATAGGATATTCCCATGAAACCTTTTCTTCTTGAGTTGATGTGCTGATGTGGAATGCCCATCACAATGTCTGCGCTGAGCCCTCACGCTGGCTCCTTCCCTAAACCCCCATGTGAACACCAGTGCACCTCTGTTGGGCAGCAATGGTTCATTCTTAACGCCACTCCTGCCCCTGCTATGTGGGTGCAGATGGGTCTCATCCTTACTCAGAGACCAAGTCCTACCAGCACAGGAAATGAGTGGCATGAGAGCAGTCCCATGTGAGGCTTCCAAAACCACATGCTTCCCCCTACCCACCCATCTCCTGCATCTGGTGACAGCCAGGTCACATCTGCAGACTTAAGAGAAAGTATTTATTTGGGGGAACATTTATCCATATCCCAGCTCTCACACCTCTTTGCTTACTTAATTAGTAATATAGTTTTAAGGGAATTAATGTGAAGTGTGCTTGTTTATTTTAATCCTGATAAGCACTTTTGAATTAACCAGAAGCATAGAAAAGAAACATTATATCTCCAGTACTGTGAGAGGAGCAGACAGCTCTGTGCCTGCATAGATGTGTCCGTACAGCATCCAACCAAAGGGCAAGAGAGAAAAGGAGTTTGTCCAAAGGTTGAAAGAGGCCAAGGGGAGTTGATTTCCCAATAACGACTATTTTGCTTCTTTAACTTTGTTCAGTTTTCATATATAAACATATAAATATATACTGATATATATGTCATTAATTTTTTAATGCTTCACATACATGTATTAATATATATACACACAGCCAAAAAAAATATACGAAGCAATTCTAATTTTAAGACTTCAATTAGAAAGAAAAAAATTCCATTAAATTGGAAGGAATAAATTCCAAAGAATTAAAATAAAAGTAATGATGTAAACATCCTAGATTACCCAGTTATGTTAAAAATATAATAACATAAAAACATTTTAATGTCTCTTAAAACTTAAACACTGAAAAAGAACCCAATTTCTTATAAGAAAAAATAACTATTAACAAATAACAAAGTTTAATAATAATTAACTGACTTAAGGATGTTCAAAGTTGCTATAATAATTAGTACAAAAAAATGCTATCATTTTGGAATTAGTTTTATTTCAATGTTCAAAATTAACTTTGTTTCAGTATATTGTCGGTTTTGTCATCCTTGTTATGTATCGTCAACTTGGAACCAATTCCCAGTCTACCCTCCAGCAGGTACTCAAAGGCAGTAAATCGCATGGGAAGAGACTGCGCATCTTTATCCCATGGAGCAGCTGGTAGATTCAACTCACACGTCTTTGGGTTGGCAGTGCAATTCCTTACCATTAGGCCATCCGATCTCTAACCATAACTAAAACAACACTAACTTAAGAGAGGCTATTCCTTGGAAAGGGACATCATACTTGGAAAAGTGAAAGTCAACAAAAGAGAGAAAGACCCTCAGTGAGATGGACTAGCACAGTGACGAGAACAATGGGCTCAAGTATGTCAGATATGATAAGGATGGCACAAGATATGGCAGAGTTCAGATCACAGTCACTATGAGTTGTAAATGACTAGATGACACCTACAACAACAATAATCTAACCATATCCAATTAAGTTTTAGAAAAACAAAGAATTCTTTTTTAAGTGCTTTCATAACTTCTAATTTGTAATATATGGTTAGACTATTAAAAAATGTAATTTTTTGTGAAGTAACTCTGGAACCCCAAAGATAGTGTCTTCTTTGTTAATATTAAGGTTAAAAACTGCTAATAAGTTTTTTTTATTTTTTAAAAAAGTGTTGCTAACAAGTTCTTATTACAGGGAACAAAATTAACCATTTTAGGAACCTAAAATATTTTAAATACTATAAACACCAGGCCATATCTACCAAGTATGAAGGACAACAAAACCATCAATTCATTTAAAACAATGCATTTAAACTGCTTAGTGATAAACACAATCTGGGAGCTGAAAACACCTTTTTTTTCTTTTCTAGTTCAAGTACAGTTAGCTAGCAAGTTAGTTTGCTATAAGCACCTTTTTCTTTCTAGTTCAAGTTCAGTTAGCTAGCAAGAAGTATATCTTACTTAACAAGGGAATAATTCATTAGGACTGTAGTTTTAAAACAAATTACACGGAAAAAATCTGTGATCTGAGTAACTGAGAATGTATCTCCTGAATTTCCTGTAGAGCAACACTTTGGTTCCTACCAGGCTTCCTGCGTTCTTTTCTAGGGACACAGCCTCCATCTTAAAACATTTGGTTCTTTCTCACAAAACCCTGGTTTCCAAGATGTTTTGGATGCTGACATTACCTCAGTCTGACATTCATAAGGAGAAAAAAAATCCTCTCTCAAAAGAAGTCACTGATTTTCCTCTTACTGCAACAACTGAAAATAAAAACTAAATGTATAAATAAATAAACAACAGCTCATAGCCTTATGGGAGACTCACTTCAACACCAAACAGAAGAGCTACCAAACATCCCTAACTAGAGGAGTGATAGGGAATGGCAAAGGACACACTGACAAAGAAGATTAATCAGAACTGGCTTTGACAAGCACTGTGGCATTTGGACAAGAACAAACTGGGAG